GAGACACTAATGAGATATTATATTGATGTTTATTTGATTGTTTATTATGCCATTGTTTTAATTGTTTTTAACTGTTTTTATGATGTTGAGCACTGAATTTTGCTATTGTTAACCGCTTTGAGTCACCCAAAGGCTGACTTAGACGAAGGCTTAGAAGGCATGATCATCAAGTTTGCAGACGACACCAAATTGGGAGGGATAGCCAATACTCCAGAAGACAGGAGCAAGATTCAAAATGATCTTGACAGATTAGAGAGATGGGCCAAAACTCACAAAATGAAGTCCAACAGGGACAAATGCAACATACTCCACTTAGGCAGGAAAAACAAAATGCAAAGATACAGAATGGGGGACAATGCCTGGCTCGAGAGCAGTACGTGTGAAAAAGATCTTGGAGTCCTCGTGGACAACAAATTAAACATGAGCCAACAATGTGATATGGTGGCAAAAAATCAATGGGATTTTGGCCTGCATCAAAAGGAGCATAGTGTCTAGATCTAGGGAAGTCATGCTACCCTTCTATTCCATCTTGGTTAGACCACACCTGGAATATTGTCTCCAATTTTGGGCACCACAATTGAAGAGAGATGTTGACAAGCTGGAATGTGTCCAGAGGAGGGCGACTAAAATGATCAAGGGTCTGGAGAACAAGCCCTATGAGGAGTGACTTGAAGAGCTGGGCATATTTAGCCTGAAGAAGAGAAGGCAGAGATGAGATATGATAGCCATGTATAAATATGCGAGAGGAAGTCACAGGGAGGAGGGAGCATGCTTGTTTTCTGCTTCCCTGGAGACTAGGACATGGAACAATGGCTTCAGACTACAAGAAAGGAGATTCCATCTGAACATGAGGAAGAACTTCCTGACTGTGAGAGCCATTCAGCAGTGGAACTCTCTGCCCCAGAATGTGGTGGAGGCTCCTTCTTTGGAAGCTTTTAAACAGAGGCTGGATGGCCATCTGTCAGGGCTGCTTTGAATGCAATATTCCTGCTTCTTGGCAGGGGGTTGGACTGGATGGCCCATGAGGTCTCTTCCAACTCTTTGATTCTATGATTCTATGAAAAGTGGGGGGAGGGGTGTCATACCATCATTACAGTGAGGCAAACTTTAAAGTAGATACAGAACACATCAAAGCCATGAAGAGAAAAACAGAAAGGCATTAGAACTTACTCTTTAGAGAGCAGCTCATTCTCAATCACTATGAACATGACTTGTCTTGCATTTTGCACTGAAAGACCAGCTAATAATATCGTGAGAATATTACAGTAATTAATGTCTCTTGTAATGGACAGTATTAGTTTGTTTTGGAAACGAAAACATGGGCATGCCAGTTGTTACTGAACTGTGACTCAAATCAATTCTGTCCAGCAATCAACAGTGAGGAATACTGGGTGCTACAATTTGACAATTTTTGACAGCTTTCCCCCAACCTATTCAACTTGTTATGCAGAACACATCATGCAATGTGCGGAGCTTGAGGAATGCAAGGCTGGGGTGAAAATTGCTGGAATAAACATTAACAACCTTATATATGCAGATGACACCACTTTGATGGTCAAAAGTGAAGAGGAGCTGAGGAGCCTTCTAATCAAGGTGAAAGAAGAAAGCGCAAAAGCTGGGTTGCAGTTAAACATAAAAAAAACCCCAGATTATGGCAACAAGAATGATTGACAACTGGGAAATAGAGGGAGAAAACGTGGAGGCAGTGACAGACTTTGTATTTCTAGGTGCAAAGATTACTGCAGATGCAGACTGTGGCCAGGAAATCAGAAGACGCTTACTTCTTGGGAGGAGAGCAATGACCAATCTCGATAAAATAGTGAAGAGTAGAGACATCACACTGGCAACAAAGATCGACATAGTTAAAGCAATGGTATTCCCCATAGTCACCTATGGATATGAGAGCTGGACCATAGGGAAAGCTGAGCGAAGAAAGAGAGATGCCGGCATCGCCAACTTCCGCATTTCCCCCAGCCGATGAGGGCGGGGCAGCGGAGGCTTCCTCGGAGAGAATCGGCATCGGAGGATGCATTTGTAAGGGGGCCGAGCTCGTAGTGGTAGCCATAACGGGACGTAGAAAAGAGGGTGGTCGAATCCAGTCCAAAGTCGAAGTACCTCAAAATCAGTCCAGGTCAGATCGAAGCAAGAGGGCTTAGCAGAGAGTAGTCAGCAAACAGTCCAAAGGTCGAACAATGTCAAAGCAGTCAGATGAATGTATAGAAACGCAAAGTACAGAAGGTTCTCCAGTTGACTCACGCACGAGCGGAATAAGAGAACTGACGGCTAGTCCCGCCCTCGGGCTATATATACTCGGGAGGAGGGGGGCAGGCCTAGCAGAGGGCTTAAAGTGTTTTTACTTTCTAGAAGGTTCCGTAAAGTTGTATTGCGCAAGCGCAGGGATATCAAATGTACGATTCACAGTGACTACGACAGGAAATCAGGAGACGCTTACTTCTTGGGAGGAGAGCAAGGACCAATCTTGATAAAATAGTGAAGAGTAGAGACATCACATTGGCAACGAAGATCCGCATAGTTAAAGCAATGGTATTCCCCGTAGTCACCTACGGACGTGAGAACTGGACCATAGGGAAAGTTGAGCGAAGGAAGATAGATGCTTTTGAACTGTGGTGTTGGAGGAAAGTTCTGAGAGTGCCTTGGACTGCAAGAAGATCCAGCCAGTTCATACTTCAAGAAATAAAGCCTGACTGCTCATTGGAGGGGAGAATAGTAGAAGCCAAGATGAAGTACTTTGGCCACATCATGAGAAGAAAGGAAAGCTTAGAGAATACAATGATGCTGGGGAAAATGGAAGGAAAAAGGAAGAGGGGCTGACCAAGGTGGATGGATGGGATCCTTGAAGTGACTGGATTGACCTTGAAGGAGCTGGGGGTGGTGACGACCGACAGGGAGCTCTGGCGTGGGCTGGTCCATGAAGTCACGAAGAGTCGGAAACGACTGAACGAATGAACAACAACAACAACAGTTTGACAATATCCAGTGGGCTGCACAGTTCACACTCCTATTTGTTTATTAGTCTTTTGGTGTCATTAGTTCCTATTTGTCCATTTGTCAATCCATAGCTCAGAGGCAAAAGAAGAAAGAAAGAGAGGCTTTAAATGCAGAAAATGACACCTCCAGTAAAAGGACCACAATAGCAAGTGATGTGAAAGAGTTCTGCCAAAGAACCTGAAAAGCCCCTGGCAGTCAAAGGTAGGCAACATTGGGTTAGTTGAACAGGAGGTTTGAGCTAATAAAAGGCACCTTTCTGTGTTCCTACTCATCTGCCATCTATTCTCCTCAGTCCCACTGAGCAATCAGTGGTGCAAGAATGTTCAAGATGACTTCAGCAGACAACCAGGATAAGAAGTGGCAGAAAATAATCCTGTATCTCTTCCAGTGAAAGCAGGAACAACTTGGCTCCTCAAAATAGGCACTGTCACCTTGTCTTCCTCCTGCAGCAGTAACTGAATTCTCCCTGGCACTTTACTATTGTACTTGGGAAGGCAATTACAGTGACAGACCTGCACATACATCCCAGACTTAAAAAAAAAAATTCTAACAGATTGCTGGCTCTTCCTTGGCATGGAGATCAATAGCTAAATTGTATTTTCAATTGGTGCAAAAAGAGGAGATAACAATTCAGATATGATGCATATCACACTACAGAAGAGTATAGTCAACCCTCCACATTCAGGGGTTTGGCATTCACAGCTTTGATTATTCATGGGTTTGTCGCAGCTTTGGGAGGCGATGCAGCCATTCACCTCCCACCGCAGTCTAGGAACCAGCAGACTTTGGGGAATGGAAAGCAAGATTGCAACTGCAATGTCCCCTAAAGCCAAACGAACCATTAAGAACTTTAAGATTGTCTGGGGAGGTCCTGCTCTCGGTCCTGCCTTCGTCACAAGTACGTTTGGCGGGGACAAGGGACAGGGCCTTCTCAGTGGCGGCCCCTTGGCTACGGAACACCCTGCCTAGGGAGATCAGATCTGCTCCTTCACTCTTAAGGTTTCATAGGCAAGTAAAAACATGGCTGTTCGAGCAAGCGTTCACAAATGCAAAGTAGTTATTATAGGAAATCGAATGACTTGACAATGGAACTGGATAATGCTTGACAATAAGGAGACGCTAAGGATGTTGTTTTTATTGTTCTTGTGATGTTTTATACTGYTTAATGTCTTAATTTATATTATGTTTTATGTGTACTGATTTGTTGGAAACCGCCTTGAGTTGCCAATTGGCTGAGAAAGGCGGTATACAAATACAATAAATAAATAAATGGATGGAACAGAGTAGTAACGGATTCAAATCACCAAACACCCCCCCCCCCACACACACACACACAAGAACCAGAGAGGGGTGGATGATGAGATCACTGCTGGACTTACTATGGAAGTCATGCTGAGTAGAGTAGCAGCTATTGCAATCATCATCCATCTTCCACCAAGTTCATAAGACTTTAGTGGGAAGTGGATGGTGAGATTGCTACAGGCCATACTGTGGAAACGCAACACACCCTCAACCTGTAGGGAGTGGAACAGAGACAATCTCAGTCAACATTAATTCCCAATGAAGTCAACTGGTTTGCAGACTTCAGTGGGAGCAGTTGACAACTGAAATAGTCGCTACTCCATTCTCTGTGGCTTTGGGAAGGCACAGCACCCACCACCTGCCAACTACAAGGAACAGTCTCCCCATCACTGGAGATACTGGGGGTTTTTTTCCACTTCTGTGTGCTTTCTCCACCCCTAACCCCCGTGAATGTGCAGGGCCAAGGGTATTCATATTACCTTCAGCACTTAGGCAAACCATCAGCAGGAAGAAAGGAAAGTCTCCCATGTCTATTTAATGTTGAGGGTTGCAGGTTATGATTTATACAAACTAACAGTTACATTTCCTGGTCTAAGCACCTTATCAGATAGATGTGGGACTTTTCCCAAGCACTTGTTTACATAATGAGCAACCCTACACAGGCTTAAATTAAGAAACAGTTCACTCACAGTACGACCGTGTCAGAGAGCAACAAGGAATCAAGGTTGCCTTCATCTAATGCAGAGCTGAGCTTCTTTCCTGTAGCTTTTCCAATTGAGGTTTTCAACTTGTTAACTAGCTTCTTGGGAGTGTTTGCGATGGCAAAAGATTCGTCAGTACAACAGCAACTGTAGACTTCAATCTTGAGCTGGAAGTCTGGCACAACTTCTTCACTAGAAACAAAACGTTTCATGGCATTAGGAAAAGAACATAAACCATAATTTAACTTTAACAGAATCTATATCTATCTATATCTATAATAAAGAAGAGTGTTTGTTTGTATAGGACAGAGGAAGGACGGAGGGAGGGCGGAAGTGTATGTGCCAGCGTTCTGATTGGCTGCCGCTGTGGTGCTATTTGCATATGGTCTCTGATTGGCCAGCTTCAATAGGAGCCCCTGGTGGAGAAGAGGGTTCATGGCAGAAACGGGGCATGACAGAAGGAAATTTGCATATGGTCTCTGATTGGCCAGCCTCATTTCCAACATTCCGAGATGACAAAGAGAGGAAAGGAAAGGTCGGGGGCTGGGTCAGTACACTCCCAATACAGACGAAACTTGCCACACAAAGCCCCCATGACCAACTCGACATCCTACTGCAGTTTGGAGGAGGATGAACCATGGATGATGGGACTTGCAGTACCACCACTCACATTCTGAGACCGCTGTTAACCTCATCCAATGACTGATCAGGACCAAACTTCGCACATAGACCTCTCATGACCCACTTTACGTCCTGGTGTGGTTTGGCCGGGGATGGACCGTGGATTATGGGACTTGCAGTACCATTGCTCAGTTCTTCAGACCACTGCAACCCTCATCCAATTACCAATAAATACCAAACTTGGCATGTCTCCATGACGCACTCTACATCCAGGTGCAGTTTGAAGGAGGATGCACCAGGGACGATGGGACTTGCAATACCTGCACTCCCTTCCTAAGACCATTACAACTGCCAACGATGATGGATCAGGACCACAATTTACACAGAGAGCCTGCATAACTCACTCTACATCCTGGTGCGGTTTGGAAGAATTTGACAATGGATGATGGGACTTGCAGTCACTTCACTCACTTCCTGAGACCCTCGCCAATGACTCATCAAGACTAAACTTGGCACATGGAGCTTCAATGACCCACTCTACATCCTGGAGCACTTTGGAGGACGACAGACCATGGATGATGGGACTTCAAGTACCTCCACTACCCAAGACTGCTGCAAAACTCATCTAATGACCAATCAAGACCAACGTTGGCACACAGAGCCCCCATGACCCACTCTACATCCTGCTGCAGTTTTGGAGAAGGGTGGACCATGGATGATGGAACTTCCAGTACCTTCACTCACATTCTGAGACCTCTGCAAACCTCATCCAATGACGGATCAAGACCAAACTTGGCACATAGACCTCTCATGACCCACTTTACGTCCTGGTGTTGTTTGGAAAAATTTGGAGATGGATGATGGGACTTGCAGTACCTTTGCTCACTTCCTGAGACCACTGAGACCCTCGCCAATGACTAATCAAGACTAAACTTGGCACATGGAGCTCCAATGACCCACTCTACATCCTGTGCAGTTTGGAGGAGGACAGACCATGGATGATGGGACTTCAAGTACCTCCACTCCCTTCCAAAGATTGCTGCAACCCTCTTCTAATGACCAATCAAGACCACACTTGGCACACAGAGCCCCCATGATCCACTCTACATCCTGCTGCAGTTTGAAAGGGGATGGACTTTGGATGATGGGACTTGCAGTACCTTCACTCACTTACTGACACCACTGACACCCTCATCTAATGACTGATAAAGACCAAACTTGGCACACAGAGCCCCCATGACCCACTCTATATCCTGCTGCTGTTTGTAGGAGGATGGCCCATGGATGATGGGACTTCAAGTACCTTCACTCACTTCCTGAAAATAATGCTGCCATTATCCAAAGACCAATAAAGACCAAACTTGACATACAGAACCGCCATTACCCACTTTCTCTAATAACCCGGGCAACGCCGGGTCCCCAAGCTAGTAGGTAAATAAAAAGAAAAACTTTATTTATATAAGCTATGTATTTATGTTTTGTTTGCCAGTGCACAAACACCCAATGAAATTAAAATAATACAGTATGACCTCCACATCCAGTGGGAATACATTTCTGGATTACTGTGGAAATGCAAAACCATGGATAACCACTTCTGCAAAACCATAACATAGGATTATGTTGGAGCACCCAAGAAATGCCTAGAAAGAACACCACTCAGGCTTTTTAGGTCCTCAAGCACAGCTCTATGATCAAGTGCCTACAGAAGCATGCCACAAAAAAATTGTTATAGGAAATGCCTACTGAAACAGTGGGTACCAAGCTCAGCAGATAAGGGGACTGAACTGTGCAATCAAGCCCTCCCTATTCAATATTAGAAGCAACAAAATGAACAGAAGGCAGTACTAACATCAGTTCTCAAACATACTGTCCAGACAAAGATAAAATCACTTGCCTTGAGCAGAGAAGACATATACATCGACTCTAGGTAAACTTCATCAGGCACCACAACACCATCATCACCAAACCCTTTGTCCCATCACTAGCAGCCTAATCTTTTATGGATGTGAATGTGGATATCAACAGTGGTCATACTGTAGAATGTATTCACCATGTCAATGGGGAGTACATTTGAAGACTTCCCGTGGATACCTGAAGCTGCGGATAATAGTGCTACATAGGTTGTATGGATAATAACCCTGTATTTTGATTATGTTGGAGCTGAAAACATACCATAGTATCACACCTAAGGACCCACAAACACTTCCAGGTGTAATATTTTCTGAGGCATGGGTAAGCGAACCTGGCTATTGATTCCATGGAAAAGGGAGTTGTATTTATAGTGTTTTTTTGGCGGCATCTTGTTTTATACTTTTGCTCTGCTTGAAATGCCTTATTCTGTCAGAATGCTTAGTTGATTAAAGTGTTCAAAACCACTTGGTTTTAGTGTTACCTGAGATGAGCTGAAGAAACACCTTTTTTCTATGTGAGCTTTCCAGAATCCTTCATTCAAGGTAAGTCCCCTCGAAGTGTTTGTGGGTGTGATACTATGGGATGCTTCCAGCCCCGATAGAATCATAGAGTTGGAAGAGACATCGTGGGCCATCCAGTCCAACCTCCTGCCAAGAAGCAGGACAATTGTGTTCAAAGCACCCCCAACAGATGGCCATCCAGCCTCTGTTTAAAAGCCTCCATAGAAGGAGCCTCCATAGAAGGAGCCTTGAAATACAGGATTATTGTTCATACAACCTATACAGAATTATATTCACTGCTTCAGGTATCCATGAGAGATCTTGGAATGTATTCCCCGTTGACACACTGAATGCATTCCACCAGTGAATACATTCCACAGTATGACCACCATTGATATCCACATTATCAGGCTGCCATAATAACCTCATATAAGTATGAAGGATACTACTAATAATATGATATTATAATTATATATTAAATGTAATATTACTAATAATATTACAGTGTAATGTTATAGTACAATGTAATATATAATATTAATATAATTCTTTATCATTTTTCTTATAATAATTAAGTGTTCCATTGCTGTAGAGATATTTTATATGGATGCATTTAAAATTAATTTCCCGGCATCCATTTCATAAATAAATACATATTAATAATTAAATCTTAATAATTAATTCCTCCGTTACTTCTACTCAAACTACCAGTATTTATTTTTCTGAACAAGGTATCTTAAATACCAAAAATAAGAGGGAGAGTCAAAGTACAGGTATTAATAATAACAAAAACTTGTAATATGGTGAGACTTCGCAAACCTGCTTTGATATAGAGATACTTACAAGACAGCTTCACTTTCAAAACATATGTCAGTGATTGTTTTATTCACAATAAGCAGCTCCGTGTCAAAAACCTGAGCTCCTACTTGGAGCAAACAAAAAACTGAGTAACGCTGTGTTCCTGCAGAAAGAAGAGGGAAAGGAAGTGAGAGGCAAAATATTACAGAACAGGAAATCAGCTTTACAAACAAAGCCACAAGACTGCATAGTTTAAAAGTTGGTTTTTTTTTTTGCCCTACATGTGTTATGAAACTCTCCACGTACTGAAGAGTGGTCAAGATGAAGGGATTGCACACATATAGAGGCAGCAACAAGAAGAGATGACCTGGAGGAAAAGCACATCAAGGTGTGCCATAATACCAGGGATTAATACTATGAAAAACGAGAAGATAATTTGTGCCCTTTGGTTTGCCTTAGTTGGTTATATTCTCCACAAATATTTCCATGGCTCCTAGCTGACAAAACCATGGGAATGTAAATGTGGCCAATGGTGACCCCAGAAGTAATTTGTGGGCCACGTTTGGATATTTTAAGTCTATTTGGTGTCTGCCTGAGCTTGAAATAGCCTTTTTTTATTTTTAAACGGACTATTTCAGGCCCAGAACAGGCTTTGGGTGCAAAATAGTATTTCAACAGGAATCATCTCCCTGGAGAGTTTGAGGGTTAGTATTAGACATTTCTACTACAAAATGTGGTGGTTAGGAATAACATAACTCTGCTCTTTGTCCAATGCTGCCCAATATTGATCTATCGGTATATATTCAACAACATGTCTCTCTGTGTGTGTGTTTAAAGGTTATAGGCACACTTTAAATCAGGGGTCCTCAAACTTTTTAAACAGAGGGCCAGGTCATAGTCCCTCAAACGGTTGGAGGGCCGGCTTATAATTTGAAAAAAAAATGCATGAATTCCTATGCACACTGCAAATATTTTTTGTAGTGCAAAAAACACTTAAAACAATACAATAATTAAAATGAAGAACAATTTTAACAAATATAAACTTATTAGTATTTCAATGGGAAGTGTTGGCCTGCTTTTGGTTGATGAAATAGGATTGTTGTTGTTGTTGTGTACTTTCAAATCATTTCAGACTTAGGTTGACCCTGAGTGAGGGCTGGGTAAATGACCCTGGAGGGCCGTATCCGGCCCACGGGCCTTAGTTTGAGGATCCCTGCTTTAAATGCTAATACAATACAACTAGGTTTCTACACATACACACACACACACACATTATATTTGCATCTTCAAAAACTTATGAAAGCAGTTTTGTCCTGCCAGGACTAGTTTTTAAAAAACCCACATAAAACCATTACAACACCTTGACTGTACACTGTCTTATGAATGCACAATGAAGGATTAGAGTATTTTATCATGCCGAGCCTTGCTGACCTTACAGAAATTCAAAGTGAAATCAATGGGGAGGATACAGCTAGAAAAGACTCTAGGTTAATCTCCGTGACACAACAAACTGCATGCATTTGTAAAGACAAGCCAATAATCCATCCAACAGGAGACAAACTTTCGTTTCAATACATTTCAGTATTTTAACTGGCAGGAGTCCTTTCTGTATAGTCTTCTGCTGTTTCAAATTGCCTACAACCCAGTATGCGGAAAGAATCATTCACTTCCCTCATGCTAGACTTCTTCAAGAAGTACATGTTAAGAGCTATAAATTTCTTGACAACCTAGTTCAAAGATATGCAATGATCATTATCATGGTAAGTGTTAGATGCACTGTGAAGTAATATATTAAGCAAGAAGTAATTCTGCACATTGCTTTCTGCTGAACTACAGTATATTCTGGCGTATAAGACTACTTTTTAACCCAAGAAAATCTTCTCAAAAGTCAGGGGTCGTCTTATACGCGGGTGTAGTCTTATGTCTGGGAGTCGTCTTAACTCTATATTTTAACTGGAAAAGTTGGGGGTCGTCTTATACGCCCAGTCGTCTTATATGCCGGAATATACGGTACTAATGTTGAAGGATGGAACAGTATGCTGATGACACTCAACTCATTCTGAGGATGGAAGGCCGACCAGACCCCATACCCGATAATTTCCATCAATGCCTTGAGGCCGTTACTGGATGGTTGCGTGCCAGCAGGTTGAGGGTGAATCCAGCGAAGACGGAGATCCTTTGGTTGGGTCGCCCGGATGGAGGGGCAATCCAGTTGCCTACCCTGGATGGCGTGACATTATGCTCGTCATCTTTGGTAAAGAGTTTGGGAGTCCTTTTAGACCCTCTGCTGACGATGGAAGCCCAGGCCTCCGCTGCGAGCAGAGCCGCATTTTTCCATCTGCGCCAGGGTAGGCGTTTGGCTCCCTATCTGTCCAGGGACGACCTGACCACGGTGATCCAGGCTATGGTCAGCTCAAGGTTGGACTACTGTAACACCCTCTACATAGGCCTTCCTTTCTCGGTGATCCGGAAACTTAAACAAGTGTAAAATGCTGCTGCCCAGCTTCTCACAGGGGTCCCAGTGAGGTGTCATATCACTCCAATCTTGCAGCAACTGCACTGGTTGCCGATTGAGCACCGGATTACCTTCAAAGTGCTGATTCTTACTTTTAAGGCCTTATATGGCCTGGGGCCGGAGTACCTGAGGGACTGCCTCATCCCCTACCAACCCCCGAGATCACTTCGTTCAGACAATCAGAATTTCCTTGAAGTTCCCAATTTTAGGATCTTTTACCGGATGTCTACTAGGCGTAGAGCATTCACGGTGGTGGCTCTTTACCTGTGGAATGCCTTGCCAGCGGAAACACAAGCTCTTCGAGACTTACTATCTTTTCGTAGAGCTTGTAAAACTTATTTATTTAGGCTGGCATTTGAATCTTGCTGATTGAAATTTTTCTTTGATTTTAAATGTAATGTATCACATATGTATATTGTAAACCGCTCCGAGCCTTCGGGGAGTGGCGGTATATAAAATTGATTAAATAAATAAATAAATAAACAAATAAAGTCTCCTGTGTAGCTTTTCATAATTATATTTAAAACATACATACTGTCTTTACTGCCGAAGTGATCAGAGCCTTTCCACATCAGTGGGATTCGGAGACCTAAAGTCAGTAAGAAAAAATAAGTTTGGTGATGTCATGCTGTGGTCTCAATACAATCCAAAAATTGTCAGAATCACTTTTCCTGTCATCTTTATCTGGCATTCTCTACAACTACAACCAGATCGATCAACTAGCATGAATCACAAGGCTCCTTTGGGCAGCATTTTGCAAACAAGTTGAGTGAAATAGAGAAATATGCAATCTTTACATCATAGCAACACTTAGAAAATGTGACATTTGGTGTATTTGCACTTTAGTTCATGATTTAATCAAGATAATGGTCCAGTTTTAGACCTGCAAACTTCTCTGTTTAGACTGTAGCTCAATAATAGTGGTTTTGTATGCATCAGATCGTACGTTTTGTTAAGTGAATAAATGTTTCAATACTTAGAACAAGATTACTGATGGCAAAGAATTGGAAAGGTAAAATAAATATATCAATTGAAGAGTGGTATAAAGAACTATGGAAAATAGCAATAAGCGATAAATTGACATGTATTTATTTATTTATTTATTTGGCAATTTTGTATACCGGTCTTCTCCCCTCTATCTTCCAACAATAAAATCACAAAACAATCATTAAAAAATCATATAATATATTCAGTTAAAACGTTATAACAATCAATCACATAATAACAATGGTCAGTCGTCATAGTGAATTCGTTGTAGGTTAAGAGTCAGGAAAGGGGTATGGAAGGAAAACGACTTTAATAAAGTTTGGGGAAAATTTATTGAGAATTGATTAAAAGAAGTAGATGGGAAATTACCTCCACAAGAATAAATGGTATTTTGGAAAGAGTTTGCAAATTGAAGTGGCTCGGAAGGGGGGCACAGAGGTGAAAAAAAAGTATACAATATATATATACACTTATAGTTGATGTAATGAATTGAGGATGGTATATAAGAGTATTGAAGGTATTGATGTATTTTGATGTATTCTAAGAAAACCAATAAATATATATATATTTTAAAAGAACGGTTTATCTTAATGGGAAAAGGCAAATAAGGAAAGACTTTGCAAATGCTGTGGTAAATGTGCATGTGGAGAGTTTATCTTCCCTCTTTCATCACACATACATAGGGAGGAGGGAGCAAGCTTATTTTTTGCTGCCCTGGAGACTAGGGCATGGAACAATAGATTCAAACTACAATAAAGGAGATTCCACCTGAACATTAGGAAGAACTTCCTGACTGAGAGCTGTTCAATAGTGGAACTCTCTGCCCTGGAGTGTGGTGGAGGCTCCTTATTGGGAGGCTTTTAAGCAGAAGTTGGATTGCTATGTATTGGGGGTGCTTTGAATGTGATTTTCCTGCTTCCTAGAAGGGGGTTGGACTGGATGGCTCACAAGATCTCTTCCAACTCTATGATTCTATGACACCAGAGGGTACCCCAAGTGGCCAGCTTCTGGTCAAACAAAGTTGAATATAATGCCAAGCTTTTGACTTTGCTTGTAGTGTGTGTCACACACACACACACATCTTAACTGTATTCTCAATTTGTTTCTGATACGATAAATAAAATCATACAAGGCATTAGCCAGGGGTCCTCAAACTAAGGCCCGGGGGCCAGATATGACCCTCCAAGGTCATTTACCCAGCCCTCACTCAGGATCAACCTAAGTCTGAAACTACTTTAAAGCACACCACCACCACAACAATCTTATCTCATCAGCCAAAAGCAGTCCCATACTTTCCACTGAAATACTAATAAGTTTATATTTGTTAAATTCGTTCTTCATTTTAATTATTGTATTGTTTTTAAGTGTTTTTCTGCACTACAAATAAGATATGTGTAGTGTGCATAGGAATTCATTCTTTTTTTTCTTCAAATTATAATCCGGCCCTCCATTCGTTTGAGGGTCTCTGACCTAGCCCTCTGTTTAAAACGTTTGAGGACCCCTGGCATAAGCAGACTGGAATTAGTTACCAAAAGAAGCAAAGGTGAATGCCCAGCTTTAAATGGGGACTTGATGAACTCATTGAGACTATTGCATAACTAATCATGTCAGCTATATATTTCTTTCAGAACCAGAAACAGTATGCATCTGTATATCATCTGGTGACAAATATAGGCAGGAGAGGGGTTTAAAACAAGGGAGAGTCCAGTGGTTTTTGAGTTATGTTAATCCCACAAACGAACATTACCTTTTTATTTATATAGATGATTCTATTATTGTGTGACTGCCAGGTGAGAGAGCCATTTGGTCTTGTCCAACATAACTCATTTTCTTATGTCAGCTCTTGCTACTCTTAAAACGAAAATATACTCCAAAATTTTGAAATTAAGAGAAAATTTTACAGGGCACATGGCACTTTTGACTCATCTGCCAATATGCAAAATAATTTAAACCCCTTAACAAAAAACAGAAGGCACAATCATGTTCCAAATCTTTCCAACACCTTTGGGAAAAATAGGACAAATTCAGTTTAAGATGACATGATGCCTCCAATAGTAACAGAGATGTTTTGTTCTGTGTACTAAAACTGGAACCACAATTGATTTCCAGTCAAGAGTAAAAATCAAAAGTACAGAATAAAGCTTCATAAAATGTGTGAAACATACAGGGAAATGCTGTATAGTAGAAGTGAAGAGCTTTAAATCAACAAAGATTAAGTCTCTCTAGATTCATCAGCAGCCATTCTTTTGCCTATAGACTGGTTTACTGAACTCTCCTATTTCAGCAGGAAATTGCACAGTTGATATATTTGCTTGAGTTTCTGCTTCAAAGCATTTTTAATGTTTATTCGAACAATATGTTATTGGCTGAGGTCACCAGAGGCTACGATGTCTAACGTTACGATGTTGCAGCAATGTCTTTGAAATAATATGCAGCCCTCCTAGTGAATGGCAACAATACATATTTGACCACTGTGATGTCATAATGGTCCCATTGTCAAGGCTCTGCTTCCCTCCTAAGAATACGAACATTAGCACAGTTCACACTCCCAAGGTTGGGAAGCTTCCTAACAACTCGGCAACTCGGTGTAGCGATTTTGCGCACCACTTTGCAGGCAAAGTTGCTCAGATACATCTTGAGCTGGATTCCAGTTTAAATGCAGTGCCAGATGAGGTAACCGAGGCACCTGTCTGTTCGATCTTATGGGATTCTTTCCGTCTTGTTCAACCTGATGATGTTAAGGGGATCCTTGGGACGGTGAGAGTGACCACTTGCGCTCTGGATCCTTGCCCATCCTGGCTAGTTAAACTAGCCAGAGAAGGGTTGTTGGAATGGTTTGTTGCAATAATAAATGCTTCATTGGGCCAGGGGAAATTCCCATCCTGCCTTAAGCAGGCGGTTGTAAAACCTCTACTAAAGAAAACCTCCATGGACCCGACTGTATGTAACAACTACAGACCAATTTCCAACCTCCCTTTTTTGGGCAAGGTTCTGGAGCGAGTGGTTGCCTCGCAGCTCCAGGGATTCCTTGATGACACCAATTTTCTGGATCGTTCGCAGTCTAGCTTTAGGCCTGGGCACAGTACCAAGATGGCTTTGGTCGCCTTGGTGGATAACCTCTGCAGGGAGCTGGACAGGGGGAGTGTGACCCTGCTGGTTCTCTTGGATATCTCAGCGGCTTTTGATACCATTGACCATGGTATCCTTCTGGGGAGGCTCGCTGGGATGGGACTCAGGGGCACGGTTATCCTGTGGCACCGGTCCTTCCTGGAGGGTTGCTCCCAGCTGGTGAAGCTGGGGGACTCCTGCTCGGACCCCTGACCATTGACCTGGGGGGTCCTGCGAGGTTCTATTCTGTCCCCCATGCTATTTAGCATCTACATGAAACTGCTGGGAGAGGTCATCCAGAGTTTTGGAGTGCGGTGCCATCTCTATGCAGATGACACCCAACTCCACTACTTATTTCCACCAGACTCCAAGGAAGCCCCGAGGATACTGGACTAGTACCTGGCTGCTGGACGACCTGGATGAGGAAGAACAAGCTGAGGATCAATCCTGATAAAAACAGAGGTCCTCCAGGTCAGTCGCTCAACTGACTGGGGTATTGGGTGGCAACCTGTGCTGGATGGTGTTGCATTCCCCCTGAAATCACAGGTCCGCAGTTTGGGATGTCCTCCTGGACTCAGCTATAAAACCCGCCTCCTTTCGTGACCGTATCTCCCTCCATGAACCAACTCGGGCCCTCCGTTCTTCTGGGGGGGGGCTTCTTTTGCCCCTGCCAATTTCACAAGCTCGCCTGGTAAGTACAAGGAAGAGAGCTTTTTCCTCTGTGGCCCCCCGACTCTGGAACTCACTACCTGGAGAAATTAGGAAAGCCCTTACCCTAGAAACCTTTAAAAAGAACCTTAAAACCTGGCTCTTCTGCTGCGCTTTTCATGAATAGGTTTACATTCTCACACTATTGCCTGGCCTCAACATTTTGTCATTAGAGTATATGTCCCCTCCCCCCCCCCTTTGTGGGAAAGCTTGATTCCACAACCTCCACTATAATGAGTCCTCCTCCGCAAATAATGTCTCTTATCTCGCCTGAGTTTTAATTAGTCTCTCTTTTAACCATTACATGTAGCCCGCCCATTGTCATTGTGATTGTTCCTATTGTAATTTTATATTGCTATGTTTTCACATGTTTTATGTAATTATGTTGTTGTTATTTATTGTTTGAGTTTTCAGTTTTATTTTATTGTAATTTGTTGTTGGGCTTGGCCTCATGTAAGCCATTGGGGAGATGGTGGAAGGGTATAAATAAAGTTGATTATTATTATTATTATTATTATTATTATTATTATTATTATTATTATTATTTGATCACCAAATCGGTTTACAATTATCTGTCTAATTTATCTGTCCAAATGCATCTCTCCTTATGAACCTTCCAGGACTTTAAGGTCATCTGGGGAGGCCCTGCTCTCGGTCCCGCCTTCGTCACAAGTACGTTTGGCGGGGACAAGAGACAGGGCCTTCTCAGTGGTGGCCCCTCGTCCATGGAACACCCTCCCTAAGGATATCAGATTGACCCCCTCCATTTTGACCTTTCAAAAAAAAAGTCAAGACTTGACTTTTTGAGCAGGCGTTTGCTAATACAGTGTAACAGACACAGGAAAATGGAATGGTTGACGGCGTGACTGAACAATGTTTTAACAAGGAACCCCTAATAAATTTGTGTTTTTAATTGACTTTGCTATGGCTTTATATTCTCTGATTGTTTTTATGGTATTGAAATTGTATTTTATGATCTTGGTACCAATTGTACACCACCCCGAGTTGCCTGCGGGCTGAGAGGGACGGTATATAATAATAATAATAATAATAATAATAATAATAATAATAATACTTTATTTATACCCCACCACCATCTCCCCAAGGGACTTGGAGCGGCTTACATGAGGCCAAGCCCAACAGCACCCCGCCACCATTACTTACTATATAAGTATAGAAAGTAAGTAAATAAATAAATAACAGAGTGGTGTCCAATTCTTGGCCCTCCAGGTATTTGGGACTTTGGCTCCCAGAATTTCTGACCAGCTACAGGAATTCTGTAGTTACTAACTACAATTTTCTTTTCAAAAACACCGATGCTTCATCCTCCATCTTTCCTTCTCCAGTTTGGACAATAATATTATCTTGACCAGAATAAATGCATTTATTACCTGTATGATTTGGTCACAGTTAACCACATTCAGCAATTTCACAAAGGCATAATAAAGACGCAGCATGCATTTCAGTGAGCAGACAGCGTATTGCAGTTTATACTGCCAATTCAGCAGTATTTCTAGCATTCATGTATACACATTCCTACTGTTAGGTTTTCGGAAAATAAGCATACCTGATATGGCAATCTTGCCTCTACAGGCTGTACGTTCTTTTGCTGCAAAATTTAAACATCTAAGAAAAGAAAACAAACATGGTTATTAAACTAAGAAATGAATGTATACCTGCTTTCCTCTGTTGTTTCAAGATGCATTTGTCTGAGCTTCAATTAATCTGTATGTGATTAAGCTTTATAGCATCCAACACACAAAGAGGCACCTCTAAAATGAAAATTAAACTACTCTGGAGCTAAAAATGACACATAAATTTAGCATTTCATACAACACTGCTAATGCATTTGTGGTATTATAGTAATTAAATTCTACTGTTATAAATATAACAATGAATACAATGAAACTGAAAGGTAACATAGGGCAATCATTCAAACTGTGAACTACAACTCTGGAGACCAGAGTTCGAATCCCCGCTTTCTGACACAAAACTAGCTCCAGTTGAGACTATACCCTAGAATTCGGGTCTAAGGGAGCTATGTGTGTGTGTATGTATGTGTGTGTGTGTGTGTGTGTGTGTGTATATATATATATATATATATATATATATATATCTCCCCTAGCTGTCCCCTGCCACGCGTTGTTGTGGCCCAGTCTGTGTTTAGTGTTTGTATATATTTGTGTAAGTGTGTTTATATGTGTAGATGCATATTGTGCATATGTGTGTCATTGTGTATAGGTATATATGTGTGCATGTGTATATGCATATGTGTATATTTGTGTGTGTTTGTGCATATATATACATGTGTATGAATGTGTGCATGTGTATATGTATATGAGTGTATTTGTATATATGTTGTATTTGTGTATATATGTGTATTTGTGGGTGTATATATATGTGTGTGTGTTTATGTGTGTTTATAGGTGTAGATGCATATTGTGTATATGTGTGTGCTTGTGTATATGAATATTTGTGTGTATGTGTGTGCATGTGTACGTATATGTGTATGTATATAGAATCATAGAATCATAGAGTTGGAGGAGACCTCATGGGCCATCCAGTCCAACCCCCTGCCAAGAAGCAGGAATATTGCATTCAAATCATCCCTGACAGATGGCCATCCAGCCTCTGTTTAAAAGCTTCCAAAGAAGGAGCCTCCACCACACTCTGGGGCAGAACGGCTCTCAGAGTCAGAAAGTTCTTCCATATGTATGTGTGTGTATTTGTGTGTGTTTGTGCATATATATACGTATGTGTGTATGAATGTGTGCGCGTGTATATGTATATGAGTGTATATGTATATGGTGTATTTTGGGGGTTTTAAGTTTATTCCGCTGGGGTTGTGTGTGTGTGTTTTTTTTTTAAGGGGTGATGGACACTCGTTGGACTGTTAAGTGTACTGTGTCCAAATTTCGTGTCAATTCGTCCAGTGCTTTTTGAGTTCTGTTAATCCCACAAAGGGACATCACATTTTTATTTATATACTAGCTGTCCCCTGCCACGCGTTGCTGTGGCCCACATGGGGGTTCTGTGTGGGAGGTTTGGCCCAATTCTATCGTTGGTGGTGTTCAGAATGCTCTTGATTGTAGATGAACTATAAATCCCAGCAACTACAACTCCCAAATGTCAATATTCTATTTTCCCCAAACTCCACCAGTGTTCACATTTGGGCATATTGAGTATTCGTGTAGAGTTTGGTCCAGATCCATCATTGTTTGAGTCCACAGTGATCTCTGGATGTAGGTGAACTTCAACTCCAAAACCAAAGGACACTGCCCACCAAACCCTTCCAGTATTTTCTGTTGGTCATGGGAGAACTGTGTGCCAAGTTTGGTTCAATTCCATCGTTAGAGGTGTTCAGAATGCTCTTTGATTGTAAGTGAACTATAAATCCCAGCAACTACAAACCCCAAATGACAAAATCAATTTTTTTGAGTGAAGGACATACATTGGGTTGTAAGGTGTCTTGTGCCCAAATTTGATGTCAATTTGTTCAGTGGTTTTTGAGTTCTGTTAATCCCACAAACGAACATTAGAATTTTATTTATATAGACTAGCTATACCCGCCACGCGTTGCTGTGGCCAACCTTCCCTCCCTCTTTCTCTCTCTTCCTTCCCTCCCTCCCTTCCTTTTCTCTTTTTCTTTCCCTTCTTTCTTCCTTCTCTACCGGTTTCTTTTCTAGTTTCCTTTGCTCTTTGGTTCCATCTTTCCTTATGTCTTTCCTTCCTTCCTTCTCTCTCTCTTTCTTTCGTTCCTTCTCTCCTTCCCTCCCTTTCACTTTTTTATTTCATTCTCTCCCTCCTCTCCTTCCTTCTCTACCCTTCTTTCTTTCTTTCCTTCTTTATCTCCTTCCCCCTTCTCTACCCTTTCTTTCCTTTCCTTCTCTCCTTCCTTCCTTTCTCTCCTCCTTCCTCTCTACCTTCTTTTCCTTCCTTCTCTCCTTCCCTCCTCCTTTCTCTCTCTCCCTCCTTCTCCCCTTCCTTCTTACTCCTTTCTTTCCTTTTTTTCCTCTCTTTCCCTCCTTCTTCTCTTCTTCTCTCCTTCCTTCTTCCTTTATTTATTTATTTATTTTTGCACAATTAAAACTTCTGCACCAGCTGCGCTCCTACCTTGGGAAGTCAAACTTGGCCACAGTGGTCCACACTCTTGTTACATCTCGATTAGACTACTGCAGCGCGCTCTACGAGGGGCTGCCTTTGAAGACTGTGTGTATCCAGCGAGAAGCAGCCAGATTGCTCACCGGAGCGTCATACAGGAAGCACACCACCCCCCTGTTGTGTCAGCTCCACTGGCTGCCGATCCAATTCCGAGCACAATTCAAAGTGCTGGTTTTAACCTACAAAACCCTATACGGTTCCGGCCCAGTGTATTTGTCCGAACGGATCTCCCTCTACGTTCCACCTCGGAGTTTAAGATCATCTGGGGAGGCCCTGCTCTCGACCCCGCCTCTATCTCAAGTGAGGCTGGCGGGGACGAGGAGCAGGGCCTTCTCGGTGGTGGCCCCTCACCTATGGAACTCACTCCCCGGGGAGATCAGATCAGCGACCTCCCTTCTGTCGTTCAGAAAAAACTGAAGACCTGGATTTGGGACCAAGCTTTTGGACATTCTGGCAGCTAAAATAAGGACCCATTGATGAGCAGGAATTGTTGGAATGAATGGACATTTCGGAACTCTGAATCACTGTGCATGAAATTGTTTTTATTATATTATGTAGTGATGTGTTTTAATTCTGTTAAATGTTTATACTGTTTTATATATGCTGTATATTTTGACAGGCATCGAATTTGTGCCTTTGTTTGTAAGCCGCCCTGAGTCCCCCTCGGGGGTGAGAAGGGCGGGGTATAAGTAACTGCAATAAATAAATAAATAAATAATAAAATAATAAATATGTATGTATGTATGTGTGTGTGTATATATATATATATAATATATATCGGTCAGCATGGATATTTTGATCTACTAACAGTTATTTGGCTAAACATTGTGAACATTTATAGCCCTGTTTCTAATGACAGGTGTAAACTGTGCACTACTTAATTTAACAATTAGTCACTGCTTCAAAGAGAGGGAACAGGGACTGCTGTCATGGATACTTAAAGCCAGCCTTAATCTTAAATGAGCAACTAATGATACTATACAGCACAATCTTCACCATAACCACACACAAAAAATTATTTCAAAATCCAAAACCATATTTCTGTAGAGTTTACCCCTATCATGACTATTAACAGCTAAATCGATGTAGTTAACCAAATCAACCAGCAGGTGGCACCAATTAATCATTTTTAATGAGTACGAAATGTGGAATAGATTTGATATTCTCGGCACTTATGCCAGCTCTAGACAAGCACTGGAAATGTGACACTGAGAAACAATGTTTGACCAATCCAGGTCCAAAGGAGCCTTGCTTTTGACAACAGTGGGCTTTTTTCTGTTGCTGACACAATAATTTTGTAGACTTTACTGTGCTGTTATGTTAGAATCTGAAACTGTGGACAAGTTAGCCTTGCTACATGGGAACCGCTCCCCCAAGTGGCTCAGTAATTAAAATGTTAGTATAGTTGTACTAGCCGTCCCCTGCCACGCGTTGCTGTGGCCCAGTCTGGTGATCTGGAAAATAAAGTAGTGAGAAAGTGCTGGTTTCTAATATATGTAATTTCTTTATGCTTGTGAGTAGACATTGTCAGTGTTGATGTGGAGAGTGTCTGGTTTGCCTACTCTGGAATATGCAACATATCATAGTCCTTCTTTAGGGGTCCCTTTCAAATCTATGATACTATATCTCTGTGTGTGTGTCATATCTATCCATCTATATCTATGGCTGGATGGCTCCGATTACATTTTCTTGCCCTGGTGAAGAGAGTTGGACTGGATGGCCTTAAGTATTTTCTGTTGGTCATGGGGGTTCTGTGTGGGAAGTTTGCCCCAATTCTGTCGTTTGTAGGGTTCAGAATACTCTTTGATTGTAGGTGAACTGTAAATCCCAGTAATGACAACTCCCAAATGTCAAGATCTATTTTCCCCCAAACTCCATCTGTGTTCATATTTGGGCATATGGAATATTGGTGCCAACTTTGGTTCAGATCCACCATTGCTTGAGTCCATGGTAGTCTCTGGATGTAGGTGAACTACAACTCCCAAACTCAAGGTCAATGGTCACCAAACCCTTCTAGTGTTTTCTGTTGGTCATGGGAGTCCTGTATGCCCCGGTTGGTTCAATTCATGTTATTTGATTTGTAGGTGAACTATAAATCCCAGCACCTACAACTCCCAAAAGACAAAATCAAATTTTTTGAGTGATGGACACACGTTGGGTTGTTAGGTGTATGATGTTCAAATTTGGTGTCAATTCGTCCAGTGGTTTTTGAGTTATGTTAATCCCACAAACGAACATTGCATTTTTATTTATATAGACTAGCTGTCCCCTGCCACGCGTTGCTGTGGCCCACATGGGGGTTTTGCGTGGGAGATTTGGCCCAAGTCTATCATTGGTGGGGTTCAGAGTGCTCTGTGATTGTAAGTGAACTATAAATCTCCGCAACTACAACCCCCAAATGTCAATATTCTATTTTCCCCAAACTCCACCAATGTTCACATTTGGGCATAATGAGTATTCGTGTAGAGTTTGGTCCAGATCCATCATTGTTTGAGTCCACAGTGATCTCTGGATGTAGGTAAACCAACTCCAAGACCAAAGGACACTGCCCACCAAACCTTTCCAGTAATTTCTGTTGGTCATGGGAGAACTGTGCGCCAAGTTTGGTTCAATTCCATTGTTGGTGGGGTTCAGAATAGTCTTTGATTTTAGATGAACTATAAATCCCAGCAACTACAACTCCCAAATGACAAAATCAAATTTTTTGAGTGAAGGACATACATTGGGTTGTTAGGTGTCTTGTGTCCAAATTTGGTGTCAATTCATCCAGTGGTTTTTGTGTTCTGTTAATCCCACAAACGAACATTACATTTTTATTTATATAGATGGGAGAAACTTAGGAGGAAACAGATCCATACCAGTCATAGTACCATGAAAGTTCCCCCTTGTGTCTGTCTGTGTTTCCTTAGGGATGCATCTCTGTTAGATCACCCTCTTAGAGAAACACCACTGTAACGTGGAACTCATATACTACATTTAAGCAGAATTTTACACAGACCAAAATTATCTTTGCCACTAGCTGAATATAAAGTTTTATGATGGTGTCACTTATAAAGAACATCCACTTCCATGCCAGATCACTTCACCGGAATAAGACAATGAAATGGAGAAAGAAGTTGCAATGAAAACAGGCTCCATTCCCACAAACGGTTGCGATTTCCCAGGAACACAATTTCTGTCAATACACTTGAGGTAGTTAACACTGTCAGGACTCCATCTGTCGTACTGAGCTCAATACAGTACAGGAAGTCCCCAAATTCCACACACACACAAAGACTAGTTACACCTAAAAAAGTACATGTTCTGACTTATATACAAATTCAACTTAAGAACAAACCTACATAACCTATCTTGTTCGTAACTCAGGGACAGCCTTTATACTACATTCCCATTGCTATACATTTTCTTCTACTAGACCTACTCAAGAATAGTCATCATGCCCTCTGAATCTTCTTCTGAACATTAATCAGTTCCAGATTTGGAGATGTCACCTCGTTAGTCAGTGGTCCATGCCTTAAGTAACTTCAAAAATGGACTACTGCAATGTACTCTACGTGGGGCTGCCTTTGAAGACGGCTCAGAAACTGCAGTTAGTGCAAAGGTTGGTGGTCAGACTACTAACTGGAGCTGGTTACAGGGAGCATATACCATGCCCCTATTAAAGCAGCTCCACTGGCTGCTGATGAGTTTCCAGGCCCAATTCAATGGTTCATAGGGGGAGATGCGTTCTGACAGGTAAATCGGACTGGGGCCAATTAGGGGTTTATAGGCCAAAGCCAGCACTATAGTGATCCACAGTGATGCCTTGATTTAAGCATTGGCTTTGTTCCATGACTAAGTTCTTAACTCAAAACACCTTTATCTTAAAGCAAATTTTCCTAATGAAATACTATTAATTCATTCCAACCCCCGAACCTCCCTCTCCCCCTTTATTGTTACGTGTTTTTAAATAAGAAAATGCACATTATCAATAACAAATAATGTATAAATGAACATTCACATGGAACAATAAAAAGAAAGATCAATTTTAAAATGGTAGAAGCACAAAGCAAAGAGACAGAAGCATCCTTTTCTTCATATTGTACTCATTCCAGCCTCCTTCCCTCTCTTGCTCTCTCTCTACCTCTCGCTTCATGAAGCCAAACATACCAGGTATTAAAACCATATAAAAACAGCTAACCCAAAGTTTCTCAAAGCAGACAAAAGCAAAGCGGACAGTAATCTCCCAAAGTGGACAAGAGCACGATTCATGGAGGCTGCTCCCTTGAAGCTCTACAGCAGGGGTTCTCAAACTAAGGCCCAGGGGCCGGATACGGCCCTCCAAGTTCATTTACCCGGCCCTCGCTCAAGGTCAACCTAAGTTTGAAATGACTTGAAAGCACACAACAACAACAATCCTATCTGATCAGCCAAAAGCTGGCCCACATTTCCCACTGAAATACTAATAAGTTTATATTTGTTAAAATTGTTCATTTTAACTATTGTATTGTTTTAAGTGTTTTCTTTTTGCACTACAAATAAGATATGTGCAGTGTGCATAGGAATTGATTCATGTTGTTTTTTTTCAAATTATAACCCAGGCCTCCAACAGTTTGAGAGACAGTGACCTAGCCCTCTGTTTAAAAAGTTTGAGGACCCCTGCTTTACTCATTCCAGCCTTCCTCCCTCTCTTGTTCTCTCTCTACCTCTCGCTTCATGAAGCCAAACATACCAGGTATAAAAACCATATAAAATCAGCTAACCCAAAGTTGCTCAAAGCCAACAAGAGCAAAGTTGACAGTAATCTCTCAAAGTGGACAAGAGTACAGTTCACGAAGGCTGCTCCCTTGAAGCTCTAAAGCCTTGAACTCTTGCTCTAGTGCTCAACTCAAACACTGCTTGTATGTCAAAGCGAAACAGGCTGAGAATCTGCTCTTAACTCAAACTCTTTTAAATTGGGACACTTTTTAGTTGAAATTTCACTATATTTGAAAAAAGTGAACAAGAGACTTGAGAAGGATTTCTGGACACTCACAAAGCTTCTTTCTCATCCCGCCCACCCAAAACTTGGATTATTCCTCCCATTAACAGTTGTCATGTATAAACGCTCAAATTACTGACCTTCCTGTGGCTGGGTTCCTAGTCGATTCCCCTGCCTGGCTCTGTAGTTCTGTACTGTAGGCACGTATGCGAGCATTGCAAACCATCAGGTTTTTAACAGCATGCAAAAGTTGTTCCTTTTGTGTGCTCACAGCAAGCAGTTTGCATATTCCTTCTCGCATCCGCATTTCAAAGTCAATTTTTTCTTGAAAGCTGCAGTCCTAAATGCCAAAACATAAAAGAAGTGTTGCATAAACCTCAATTGCAGAATTACAATAAAAGTGGGATTTATTAAATTAGAAACAATGTGTACTATATTGGTATGTCCCTAGGGGAAGAACCATAGATCTTGAATTTGCCAGGGCTTTATACCACTTGAGATTACAACCTAACGTAAGCCAAAGATACTTGGCGAATCAAGAAATTCACCTTGAGAAAAACAGACAATCCTTTTCACATCATTACCTGACACAAGCAGTCGGCCTCTTTCTTGGTTTCCATATTCCAGTTCTCAAACCCATTATTGTTGGGATATTTATTTATTTACCATGTCAGGGGCAACCAGACAATTGTATTACATTTTTAACAGAACATAACAAACAGACAGACAAAACACAAAGTTTGCAAGCTTGGTAGTTGATTAAATACCCTTTGACCAATATCTGGTCACTTGGAGTGCCTCTGGTGTTGCCGCAAGGAGGTCCTCCATTGTGCATGTAGCAGGGCTCAAGTTGCATTGCAGCAGGTGGTCTGTGGTTTGCTCTTCTCCATACTCGCATGTCGTGGATTCAACTTTGTAGCCCCATTTCTTCAGGTTGGCTCTGCATCTCATGGTGCCAGAGCGCAGTCTGTTCAGTGCCTTCCAAGTCGCCCAGTCTTCTGTGTGCCCAGGAGGGAGTCTCTCATTTGGCATCAGCCATTGATTGAGGTTCTGGGTTTGAGCCTGCCACTTTTGGACTCTCGCTTGCTGAGGTGTTCCAGCGAGTGTCTCTATAGATCTAAGAAAACTATTTCTTGATTTAAGTCGTTGACATGCTGGCTGATACCCAAACAAGGGATGAGCTGGAGATGTCACTGCCTTGGTCCTTTCACTATTGGCTGCTACTTCCCGGCGGATGTCAGGTGGTGATATTCTATGCTGATGTTCGTGCCATTACTGCTCAAGCAGGGTTCTTTGAGATGGTTGAACAGAAGCCCTCCGAAGCTCTAGGTGCTCTTACTGCCTATTACAGGGAAAACCAGTGATCCCTAATCCATCTAAAACACAGACATGTGCTCTTCACCTTAAGAACAGACAAGCATCCCGAGCTCTGAGGATCACCTGGGAAGGAATCCCACTGGAGCATTGCAGCGCACCCAAATACCTGGGAGTCACCCTGAACCGTGTCCTGACCTACAAGAAGCACTGCCTGAATATCAAGCAAAAGGTGGGTGCTAGAAACAATATCATACGAAAGCTGACTGGCACAACCTGGGGGTCACAACCAGACACAGTGAAGACATTTGCCCTTGCGTTATGCTACTCTGCTGCTGAGTACGCATGCCCAGTGTGGAACACATCTCACCACGCTAAAACGGTAGATGTGGCTCTTAATGAGACATGCCGCATTACCACGTGGTGTCTGCGCCCTACACCACTGGAGAAACTACACTGCCTAGCTGGTATTGCACCACCTGACATCCGACGGGAAGTAGCAGCCAACAGTGAAAGAACCAAGGCAGTGACATCTCCAGCTCATCCCCTGTTTGGGTATCAGCCAGCACGTCAACGACTTAAATCAAGAAATAGTTTTCTAAGATCTACAGAGACACTCACTGGAACACCTCAGCAAGTGAGAGTCCAAAAGTGGTGCGCTCAAACCCAGAACCTCAATCAATGGCTGATACCAAATGAGAGAATCATTTGTCTGTGCCCCCTGGGCACAGAGAAAACTGGGCGACTTGGAATGCGCTGAACAGACTGTGCTCTGGCACCAAGAGATGCAGAGCCAATCTTAAGAAATGGGGCTACAAAGTGGAATCCACGACATGGGAGTGTATAAGGTTAAAGCACACGAAATATGCTAGTAAAATGCATACGTGAAACACCCAGGACAAAGATTGATACTAATGTAAAAATGCAAAGTTAATGCAGTTTACAATGTGTGTATGTGTGTATATATATATAGATAGATAGAGATCTAGCAGCGTTTCTCAACCTGGGGGTCGGGACCCCTGGAGGGGTTATGAGGGAATGTTGTAGGGGTCACCAAAGGCAATCAGAAAACACAGTATTTTCTGTTGGTCATGGGGGTTTTGAGTGGGAAGTTCGACCCAGTTCTATCATTGGTGGGGTAACGGCGCTCCATGCAGTCATGCCAGCCTCATTACCTTGGAGGCAGACAATGCCAGCTCTTTGGCATAGAAATGGAGATGAGCACCACACCCTAGAGTTGGACACGACTGGACTTCATGTCAGGGGAAAATTTTTACCTATATATTAAACTACATTAATATTTTAAACTGCATAAAATGCAAAGTTAATGCAAATTAAAATATTTGGGTACGTGTGTGTGTATATATATTATGTATCTACTAGCTGTCCCCTGCCAGCATTGCTGTGGCCCAGTCTGGTGATCTGGAAAATAAATGAGAAAGTGTTGGTTTCTAATATAAGTAATTTCTTGATGCTTGTAGGTAAACAGTATCTCTTGTTGTTTCTTTGTCAATGTTTATGTGGAGATTGTCTGGTTTGCCTATTCTGGAACATGCAACATATCATAGTCCTTCTTTAGGGGTCCCTTTCAAATCTATGA